CCCCCCTGCACAAACTTCACCTGGCTGTTTTACATTCCACCAGGAGCACTACCATAACAAGTCATTAATTTTTGTGTGAAATGTAGTACACGTCCAATCGCTCTGTAATCCGAGACCACTTCAACACTGCCCAGCTCAACCTTGACGCACTTCTCACAGGTCTTCATCTCCCCTGAGAAAAGTCTCCACAAGCGCATTCACAACTTTGGGTCATATGATTACAGCAGGTTTGAAGTTCACCTGCAGTGTTGGGAAGGTTACATTGGAAATGTAATAGGTTACAGATTACAAGTTACCCTATTTAAAATGTAATAGTAGTGTAACTTTTTCAATTACTTTATTAAAGTAATGTAACTGATTACTTTTGATTACTTTTTGATTACTTTTCAAAATTTCTAATGAATGTTTATTTGCAACTGTTAATCATTTTCAAACATTTACACCATGCAGGGCTAACCTTACAGTAGTGCTCAACACTCTCAGACTTTCAAAATCCTTCATCACTTGAATTAAGATGAACAAATTTGAACACATCCACCACAAAATCAGACTTTAGTACCGCCTTTTACTTTGAGATTGATCTGAAGTTCAATGCAGATTAGGAAACACTGCATCTAACAATGGTTTGGAAAAAAATAGTTAATTAAAAAATAATAATAAATAAAAGCATATACATCAACTCAAATACGGTTATCTAATAAGCATGTGTCCTATTCTGTGTACTAAACTCCTGAAACATTGGTGATTTGGGAAAGAAATCAATTAAATCTGTATGTGGATGTGTGTAAATATTCAAATGTAATCCCCTTTGTAATCGTTCACATTTTCATAAGTAACTGTAATTTAATTACACAGTTTTTCTTAGTAACTGTAACTGATTACAGTTACATTTATTTTGTAATTAAATTACGTAACGCCGTTACATGTAACTAGTTACTCCCCAACACTGTTCACCTGACATGTGATATAGAGCAAACTGACCTTACTGACACAGCACTGATTCATTGTTTGTCAATACAGACCTAATACTTACATGCATAATCAAGAAGTACAAACAATTTTGCACTTCTGAAGAAAAAATGATCAGACACATTGTGAGTACTAAAATAAATCTTATCAAGGTAAAGTGTAAAACTCTACAGACAGTCAACTGAAAGCACTTAAGTAAGAAGAGACGGAAACTCACAACTCTGCCTCGGCTTCGGAGAATTCACTGAAGAAGGTGCTGCCATTGGAGTGTGGCGGTCCCGGCGATGCCTCCTCGTTCCTGTAGCTGCTCTGGCTGCTCCCTTCTTCAGGCAATGTCTCTGGCAATGTGGGGGACTTCTGGAACGATCCAGGCATTCCTGGCTCCGCAGACCCCAGGAAGCAGGGGCATCGAGTCCGAAGCCCCTTGAAAAGGAAGTTCATTTTTAGAGAGGGCAACCAGGGACAGCCAAGAAGGTTCTTGAAGGCCACACGAAACTCTGGACTTCGACAGTAGATGATGGGGTTGAGGCCGGAGTTCATGTAGCCTAACCAGTTTAATAAACGAAAAATCTCCATGCTCGGCACGTCTCGATTGAAGACATTGATGATGTTCGCCACAAAGAAAGGCAACCAGCAGAGTGTGAAGACGCCCATGATGATGCCCAGTGTCTTGAGGGCCTTGTGCTCCTTGACGACGGTTATTCTCGACGGTCGCCTTCGGGAACTTTTCCGCCTTGCCGTCATTCCTCCGACATGATTGCACATCGAAGGTAAGTTGTTGTTGCCGTGGTGCGTCGGCTGTACCTGATTTCCTATGCACTCATTTTGGAACCTCAAACGGTTTTTGTCGATTAGCTGTTTCTGTTGTGTGGCAATGAAAAAGACGCGTGCATAGACGAAAATCATGATGAGTAGTGGGATGTAGAATGAAACCACTGATGAAATTATAACAAAGTGCATATTTGCTATAAAATCACAGCACTTGGGGTCCTCATTACATTTTCTTAAGATTTCATCGTCATTCTCCACACGCCAGTACTGATTCATAATGGGGACGAAGGAGATTAGAGATGAGACCAGCCACACGACACAAACGATAATTCGAGCCCTACACTTATTCAGGAGCACTTTATACCGCAGAGGCCGTGTGATTGCAATGTACCGATCCACTGCGATGATGCAAAGGGTCTCTATACTGGCAGTGACGCATAACACATCAACCGATGTCCATAACTCGCACAAAGTCTTGGTGAGTTGCCATTTCCCCGTTACGACAATTGTGGCACCCAGTGGCACCACCAGCACCCCCATTATGAGGTCAGCGCATGCCAATGACATGATGAAGATATTCGTTGTGGTCTGCAGCTGGGAGGTGCGTGCAATAGCGATGATGACCAGAAGGTTACCCACAACGATAATGGTGATGATGATCACCATGATGAACAGCTCCAAAGACTTAAACTCATGTTCTTCTCTCCCTGTCGGAGTTGCATTGGTCGGTAGACTGCTGGTCACATCGGTTGGTAGAGTGCTGCTCATCAGAATTTCCATGTTTCAGTATTCAGAGATCAAGGCTTGCAATTTTTCAAACTGAATATCAGAAACAAGCAGCAGCAAAGAGACATAGCTAGTGGCTGGAAATGTCTAAACCTGCGATACCATGACGATGTTGTCTATAATCTTGCATTTTATACCACTGTAGTTCCAAATCTTGAACAACCGCATCAATTCTGTTTCACCTCTCCTTCAGGCATCCTTAAAGTCGTGCACATCCCGCAACTTGTACATCCTGTAGGATTTTAAGCACGTTCCACACATCTGAACTGCAGATGTAGGAGGGAAATAAGTCCCTTTTATTCTGAGTTAAAACTGGTCCATGAGAGATGGGGGGAAAAAACAATAGAACTTTTTGAAAAGCTCTTGAAGCCACCAGAGAAAAGGCAGATAAGCAGGCGTCCTGTTGAAGTATTCCACTGAAGTGGAGTTTGAGCTGAAGTGGAGGAGGTTCAGTCAGCGTGTTGCCACCGCGTGTGTGGAGCGGACGAGTGGAGGTGCCTCTACTGCCAAAAGCTCAAAGGAGCAGTGACACTGCCGACAGTCAACAGTGGTAAAACACTCTCCCATTCTGATAATGCTTGCTCTCTCTCTCTCTCTCTCTCTCTCTCGGAGTTGAGCTTTCAGCATGCTGTAGTTGCAGTCGCATTTCACCCGAGGGGTGGAGTTGTAAAGAGTGCCTCACACAAACACACCCCCTCTCTGTCTCTCTATCCAACAAGTACACAATCAGCAAACAAAAACACTTATTATCTTGTCTGTCATGCATCAGAAATAGACATACATGCAATAATATATACCCCCAAAATAGTAATGTCTGAATACTTTCCGTACCCACTGTATATATATATATATATATAATTAAACTTATCATAACATATTTATTTGACATACCATTTTATCTAACGCATCTTACAGTGTATATATTTTATCAGTAAGTGTGTTCCCTTGGGAATTGAACCTATGACTTTTATGTTGCAAGCGCAAACACTCTATCAGTTTAGATTTACCAATTTAGCGATAATTTAATAAGTGATGTATTTTTACCTTGATACTATTAATCTGATAACAGGTGCCACTTTGAGGATTAATGCAAAAAAGAAAAAAAAATTATAAGCATCATGAATAACATAACACTTTATGTCAAAATGAATTTTTCTGTTGGCATTGGAGTAAGAATTTCTCAAGAGATTCATAGATAATTATCCAGTGTTTCCATGTCTAATGTCCCATGTCTTGGTCTCAATCTCACCCTGAGAGTAGCTGCTGCAACCTGAAAGGCCTGTTCAGACTGAGCTATATCTGTTCATAACAATCTTCTTCTGTATAGTCCTGGTGTTACATGTTTAAAGGAAGTCAGAAATGTTTTTGTATGTCAAGAATTCAGTCACAAGGCTATCTGAGGCTCTGTCAATCATGCTGTGCTCAGATTAGTTAGTCAAACTGATGGCTGATAGTGCATGTCTGCTTATTGTGGATTCCTTCTTAGTCAAAGTCTGGCTTTAATTAGAAGTTGTTTGTAACTTGCCTTCCATAGCTCCCACCCCCAAAAATAAATGTTATGTTATAATTTGTTTAATATAATTAATTTTTTTAAAATTACAATTTACTATATACAATAATAATAATTATTTATTTTTATAAATATATATATATATATTTTAACAGAAAATTGTTTCATTAGCTCAGTTAACTACTGTGCATTAAACAAAAGCACCAATCCAATTTTTGAGAGAACGGCTGCAAAGACTTTCATGTTACATCCCAACCTGTTGTGGAGTATCCTCCATGATCACATTCTGCTGTGTTCTGTTGCAGTGTTTCGCGATATGAACAGGATACCAGCTCCTTTGGGGCCGTTGTTCAGCACTAAAAATAATAGATGCTTATCTGGCCTGCGACTCACGCCAACCCGGCCACAACCAGGAAGAACAATCAAGACAAATGCCTGGCATGCCATTCTGCTGCGAAAATCTGGGCAGAGTAGTCGCCAAGGTCTTTGTCATCAAGTACTTCCTTCCCTTCTCTGTCTCTTTTCCCCCTCTCTGTCTTTCTGCCTGACATCATCTTATTTTACTCAATACATTAGCGTGTGCTCTCGCTTGCAAACCCTTGTGAAAAAGAAGTACACTTTTTTTTTTCTTTGAGGAGAGTACTTATTATTGAAATAATACACTTTAAAAGAATATAGTTGGATGCAAACTGAATGTAATGTTTTTGGACATTTAACTGCATGTTAACTGCAATTAAATTAAAATGTAGTATAGTTTAAATTTATGTTAAATGCAGTTAGTTGAATTACAGAGTGTTTTGACACACTTGTAGGACTTAAATGCATCTTAATATGTGATACATCTTTATATGTGATTTTGCATCGAGTCCGAAGCCCCTTGAAAAGGAAGTTCATTTTTAGAGAGGGCAACCAGGGACAGCCAAGAAGGTTCTTGAAGGCCACACGAAACTCTGGACTTCGACAGTAGATGATGGGGTTGAGGCCGGAGTTCATGTAGCCTAACCAGTTTAATAAACGAAAAATCTCCATGCTCGGCACGTCTCGATTGAAGACATTGATGATGTTCGCCACAAAGAAAGGCAACCAGCAGAGTGTGAAGACGCCCATGATGATGCCCAGTGTCTTGAGGGCCTTGTGCTCCTTGACGACGGTTATTCTCGACGGTCGCCTTCGGGAACTTTTCCGCCTTGCCGTCATTCCTCCGACATGATTGCACATCGAAGGTAAGTTGTTGTTGCCGTGGTGCGTCGGCTGTACCTGATTTCCTATGCACTCATTTTGGAACCTCAAACGGTTTTTGTCGATTAGCTGTTTCTGTTGTGTGGCAATGAAAAAGACGCGTGCATAGACGAAAATCATGATGAGTAGTGGGATGTAGAATGAAACCACTGATGAAATTATAACAAAGTGCATATTTGCTATAAAATCACAGCACTTGGGGTCCTCATTACATTTTCTTAAGATTTCATCGTCATTCTCCACACGCCAGTACTGATTCATAATGGGGACGAAGGAGATTAGAGATGAGACCAGCCACACGACACAAACGATAATTCGAGCCCTACACTTATTCAGGAGCACTTTATACCGCAGAGGCCGTGTGATTGCAATGTACCGATCCACTGCGATGATGCAAAGGGTCTCTATACTGGCAGTGACGCATAACACATCAACCGATGTCCATAACTCGCACAAAGTCTTGGTGAGTTGCCATTTCCCCGTTACGACAATTGTGGCACCCAGTGGCACCACCAGCACCCCCATTATGAGGTCAGCGCATGCCAATGACATGATGAAGATATTCGTTGTGGTCTGCAGCTGGGAGGTGCGTGCAATAGCGATGATGACCAGAAGGTTACCCACAACGATAATGGTGATGATGATCACCATGATGAACAGCTCCAAAGACTTAAACTCATGTTCTTCTCTCCCTGTCGGAGTTGCATTGGTCGGTAGACTGCTGGTCACATCGGTTGGTAGAGTGCTGCTCATCAGAATTTCCATGTTTCAGTATTCAGAGATCAAGGCTTGCAATTTTTCAAACTGAATATCAGAAACAAGCAGCAGCAAAGAGACATAGCTAGTGGCTGGAAATGTCTAAACCTGCGATACCATGACGATGTTGTCTATAATCTTGCATTTTATACCACTGTAGTTCCAAATCTTGAACAACCGCATCAATTCTGTTTCACCTCTCCTTCAGGCATCCTTAAAGTCGTGCACATCCCGCAACTTGTACATCCTGTAGGATTTTAAGCACGTTCCACACATCTGAACTGCAGATGTAGGAGGGAAATAAGTCCCTTTTATTCTGAGTTAAAACTGGTCCATGAGAGATGGGGGGAAAAAACAATAGAACTTTTTGAAAAGCTCTTGAAGCCACCAGAGAAAAGGCAGATAAGCAGGCGTCCTGTTGAAGTATTCCACTGAAGTGGAGTTTGAGCTGAAGTGGAGGAGGTTCAGTCAGCGTGTTGCCACCGCGTGTGTGGAGCGGACGAGTGGAGGTGCCTCTACTGCCAAAAGCTCAAAGGAGCAGTGACACTGCCGACAGTCAACAGTGGTAAAACACTCTCCCACTCTGATAATGCTTGCTCTCTCTCTCTCTCTCTCTCTCTCTCTCTCTCTCGGAGTTGAGCTTTCAGCATGCTGTAGTTGCAGTCGCATTTCACCCGAGGGGTGGAGTTGTAAAGAGTGCCTCACACAAACACACCCCCTCTCTGTCTCTCTATCCAACAAGTACACAATCAGCAAACAAAAACACTTATTATCTTGTCTGTCATGCATCAGAAATAGACATACATGCAATAATATATACACACACACACACACACACACACACACACAAATGTCTAAAGGGAAGTTACTCAAGGTGACAACATCAAAACCACACACTCCACTGAAAAAAAAAAACTTTTGAAATCATTTCCACTTAAAAATTGCTAGTATATTTCTCAAAAAATAACAAAAAAATGGCAAATAACACATTGAATTAAACATGAAATTTTGAAGAAAAAAAAATATTTTTTTTTTATATATATACAGTGGGTACGGAAAGTATTCAGACCCCCTTAAATTTTTCACTCTTTGTTATATTGCAGCCATTTGCTAAAATCATTTAAGTTAATTTTTTTTCCTCATTAATGTACACACAGCACCCCATATTGACAGAAAAACACAGAATCTCTGTCTCTTTTCCTCCTCTCTGTCTTTCTGCCTGACATCATCTTATTTTACTCAATACATTAGCGTGTGCTCTCGCTTGCAAACCCTTGTGAAAAAGAAGTACACTTTTTTTTTTCTTTGAGGAGAGTACTTATTATTGAAATAATACACTTTAAAAGAATATAGTTGGATGCATACACTTTTTTTTTTTCTTTGAGGAGAGTACTTATTATTGAAATAATACACTTTTTTTTCTTTGAGGAGAGTACTTATTATTGAAATAATACACTTTAAAAGAATATAGTTGGATGCAAACTGAATGTAATGTTTTTGGACATTTAACTGCATGTTAACTGCAATTAAATTAAAATGTAGTATAGTTTAAATTTATGTTAAATGCAGTTAGTTGAATTACAGAGTGTTTTGACACACTTGTAGGACTTAAATGCATCTTAATATGTGATACATCTTTATATGTGATTTTGTAATTACTCTTTTATAATTACTGTGATTTTATTTATTTATTGTTAGCACAATTAATTGACCTTTAATTTCACCTTATGTACAAGTACTATATATATATATATATATATATATATATATACTTTTAAGATTTGAAGTACACATTCAATACAAATCAGCACACTTCATTTTCACAAGGGAATTGTTGACTAACACTGTTGTCTTAACTAGGTGTGAGGCTATAAAATGACATTTAAAGCTACATGTTCCATATAAATCTGAGATATTTTTCCTAACTGGGTGTGACTGCTGGGTCAAAAGTGAAATCTCATTGGTTCACAGAAATCTAATTGGCTGTGTTTTAAACATTAACTGTCTTCCACTGGCTAGTGTTCTGTTGCACTTATTTAGTGTAGCCAGACAAGTAGCTTGTCCCTGGAAAGTGGTTGCATCCCACATGTAGATAGAATAAGTGAATATTCATGGTATATTTGATCCATGACAATAGAACATTGATCCATAACAGCACAGCATTTTAAATACCCTGGAAGTGATTCTGAAAAATGTATTCATCTGACAAGAATATTTCCTCTCAGACTGTCGAATCATGTTATATTAACCTTTTTCAAAGAAATTGGCAGTACAGTCCAATATTGAAAACAAGGCTCACAATTAGTTGCATCACACATGTAGATAGAATAAGTGAATATTCACGGTATATTTGAGCCATGACAATAGAACATTGATCCATAACAGCACAACATTTTAAATACCCTGGAAGTGATTCTGAAAAATTTATTCACCCTATCTAATGTATCAAAAGGTCTACACTTGACTAAACTCAGATGACCTGAAGTGCACTGTCTCCATCTGCACACTATGAACGTTTGTCGGTGCTCATTACTTTCAGAAAAATTCTTCTGTAAACCCTGATGTGACTTAAGTATTTTATTAGATTTCAGAATGATCACTGACCCACAAGCCTCATGCCATTCTAAATGAGTTTGGGCAGAGGCTATAAACAGGTAAACACTGATGTCCTCAGAAGTCTAGTGCTTCATGTTAGCTTAGACTTCAACTGAAGCCTTTTGTTTAGTGCTCAGATATATCATTCAGACCTACAGTCATGAGATGAAAAATTATTCTCAGTTAAATTCGGTCTGTTTGCATTACAGTTTTTTTTTCCACACTGTGGAAGTAAATGGCTACCAGCAACTGTTTGGTTAAACACATTCTTCAAAATATCTTCTTTTGTGTTTATCAGATGAAAGAAAGGTCAGTAGATGATGAGAACTTTATTTTTTTTTTAGTGAACTATCCTTTTAAGGCTGTATAAGATTAAATATAAGATTAAAAATGACTTTATTCAGCATTTAAAAATCTTAACAACAGTGATGCCATTGCATAATAAATCTCAAGGAAATGTATAGAGTTAATAATAAACTTTATGATTTGGACGTAAAACTAGAACACACACAAAAAAAGCTCACAGCCAAAGTTTGTAGAATTCGCAGGTGCATCTCAATAAATTAGAATGTCGTGGAAAAGTTCATTTAGCTTTTCTCACACACTATTTGGGGCATTTGGTTTGGAGTGGCCATTGCTGGCTCTGAGTCCATTAGCAAATGGGGTGATGAATGTGCTGTGGGAGTGGAGTGACTCATTAGTGAGAGGCTCATCTGAACTTGTTAAGGGCTTAATTGGATTGAGCAATAAAAGCTCTTCTACAGTCTCTTGTATTGATTGATGACAATGCACAGGTGCACCCTTCTCCTCTGTCTCTCTCTCTCGCTCCACTTTTTTCTCATAAGTGAGATTACAAACTGTAGGCATTGGTTATGCTCTGTTTGAAGGGCACTGGTCATAAGGAGCATACAGTTACAAGCATATGGGTCAATGACAAATAAAGCTTCTAAAAGTTATTTTTTGAAAACCTTTTCAAAATGAATGCAATGCATATTTTTGACTTGGGAACAATGTGTTTAAACAAGTTTAATTAGTTACATAACATTTCAAAGTATTTAAATGCATTTTTTGACTTTTAAACTTGAAATGTCAAAAAAAATGTCAGGTGGTACAACCAAAAATTTGTAAATATATGTTTATATTCCTGATTTTATTTATAAGAGAAATCTTAGCAAAGTAACCCTTAGAGCAGGGGTTTTCAAAGTTTACATTCAAAGGTCCGAATCTGAATTCTCATCAACGTGAATAGGTCCGAAATAATTGTTATTATAAAAATGTTTTTTAATAAACATGCTTATAACTTTATATAACAATTCAACTTTATATATGCTAATTATCATATTCATTGCATCATCAAGTTGTACTTGCGTTTACTCTCTGAACTGTTACATAAAGTAGCCTTTAACTAAATGCCCAATGAATGTACATATTTTCTGTTTCTGAAGTACTTCAATGTAACCTAAAGTCACTTCAGCTGAATTGCTAAAATCTTGAATAATAACTGCAATATGCTGTTATACAGCAGTGAATTACTTTACTTTACAAAAATAACGACTTTATTCCACATTTTCGTCTCTACTGCGTCACTTGTGGATGCGCGTTCACGACAGTATCATGACACGAGCGTGTGCCGGCGCTGACCCAGATCTGGCGTAATGATGTCTCAAGTGGAGACGAAAATGTGGATTAAAGTCGTTATTTTTGTTTTCTTTGCACAAAAAAGTATTCTCGTAGCTTCGTAGAAAACCCTCCATGGTAACTTTTTTAACACTGTCAAACAAGTGACAAGGCAACTAAGAAGAGTAAAACTATCACACTAACACAGCCTTTAGGAAATTTAAACTGTCACTTTAAGATTATCTTTAGCAACTGGAATGGAACATTATATAATGACTTCTAAACAAAAATGGACAGTGATTTAACCAAAAATGTAATGGTTGACAAAATATTTTCCCTCCCTTTTCCTCCTCTGATGAGTATAAAACATGAGAATAACTGCCATATTACCATTTAAAATTCTGAAATGTCTGACTGTTGTAAAGTAATAACAACAAAATAAAATGCCGTCAAGTCTTGTCAGATTTCTTTTCTTTTTGCAAGATAGTCTTTCCTTGCATCAAACATTTAAAACAATAATTAAAATATATTTTAGAAAATTAATAGACAATCTTAGCTTAAATGTCTCATGTATTTAGCTTAAATGTTTTTTTTCTTTCTTTTTTCTTTTTCTTTCTTTCATATAGGGACACTCAATGCAGTTTCACCACCTGGCTTTCTGGTTGCACCACCTGACTTTTGCAACTAGTTTTACATTGAACAGGCTTCTACTTGGATGCCTGTATTAGCTTTTGCCTATGTTAGTTCATACATATATCATAGTAATGGTCTCATGTTTTCGGTTAAGCCACCCTGACATTTGAGAACATACAAATTGTCGGACAAGTTTTTCAACAGCTTTAAAACTACTGGTATTTGTGAAATTTGTTTATAGGAAAGGTTTTAAACATAAAATGATGCCACAGTATTTTATTTTGAATTTATCCTCACTAAAACACCATTTTAAATAGTTTTCTTAGTTTGTTCATATGTGCACATGGTTGCACCATCTGATGTTTTGGAGGTTTGAGATACCAAAACGTAAAATAATATTTATCATTTTAGTGTAATAAAAATGTATTTAAATTAAGTGGTTTTATGAATAAAGTGATACA